TTTTGGAAGTTGTACTAGCCGATAATTTGGTGCTGTGACTCATTTTTTGATTACTCAATTTTTTTTTTTTTTTTTTTTTTAGCAGAAATAATATAGTCTAAGAATTTGTAAAATCTCACATTCATGTGATGAATTCTATATTGCACAAATATGAAGCATAAGATTGAAGTTATTATGAATTAATACGAAAAAAAATGTAGAATATAGATGAACGAAGAAATCAAAACATGGTAAACAAAATAATCATTGCAGTAATTTTGACGATATAAAAATATTAAATATAAAAGAAGACGATTTTCTTTTTTTTTTTTTTTTAAAGACGGCTTTATTTATAATTATTAATTATTCTTATATATTATATAATAACAATATACAAAATTTATTTGAATAAATAATTGAAACAATAGACAATTGAATGAGCTATACTCACATGAGGAGGAATCACACATTTGTCAAACCTTTAAATATAATAAATTATTTTGTCTTAAATTATCAAATCGTATCACTAGTTCTTTTTGAAGCATTTTGTTGGGTTATCGGGAAGTATGAGTGATGCTAACTCGTTTGAAAACTATGCAAAATATATGATAAAAAAAACAACTTTTATCGAAAAATATCTAATAAAATTGAGACAGATAAGAAGAATGGAAACAACTAAGTATAGCGTGTAACCTCATTTATGAAATACAGAAAATGTAAGAACAATCATCGTAGAAAAACTAACAATACATCAGATAGATAACACAATAAAAAGGACAACCACAAATTGTAAATGTAGAACAGTAAGAATAAAATGTATGGAATGTTAAAAGGTTAATCGTCATATTTCCAATAATCAAATCAAAAAAGGAAAATTAATAGATGACGAACGCGAATTTCAAAAGATAATAAAGGTAAAACCAATAGTATAAATGCAGGTCAGAAACAAGTTAAATTAAATTGTGAATATAATATACTTTAAAGATAGAAACTAAAATTGCTATGAAACGTCAAAACCCTAATGAATACATTGATACGTTCGAAAAATATTATATTATTAATCCATGGAAATTTTAATTGATTCATAAATTAATATTTTGTTATCATTGATGATACATTTTGTAAAATGTAAAACTTAATAATCTTCACGACGTCTTATTTGATTTTTATACGAATTTTCAGTCAAAAAGTTTATTAAGAATATCCTTGGAGAACTAATTCCAATAAATATTTCGTGGAAAATGTATTTTATCTATAAAAGTATAATGCTCTACAATAATATTTAAATTTTTTTTCTTCAAAATTTCAATGAAAAAATTCGAAAACTTATAAAAAATTCATGTGACTATGAAAACAAGAATATATAGGTAACTTCAAGCAATATCGTGTTTAACAGTATACGAGAAAGGTAAGTTCGCTGTTGCAATGTAATGACAGTTATTCTTGCCCTTATTTTTGGCAACGGTCATATTATTATATGTTAGGGTTTTAGGTACTATAGAAAATGTTGATCGTTAATAGTTTTTTCTTTACATAAACATATATTTATATATATATATACATACACATATTATATTTTATTAAACACATTTTGTAGAATTCCATAATAATATAAATTCATTTATACATCTATACAGAGAGTAAAGCATATTGAGTTAATTGATTATGAGAACAGTAACAGCATAGTATTTCCTAATCATTTTTAAACCTCAGGATATTATAAAATAATTTTAATATTTCAGAAAATATAATATAAAATTTTACTATATAAAATACTTCGTCAAAATATAGCGTCATGTTTATAAATTATTTTATTTTTTTGACTACTGTTTTATTAACAAATCGAATTATATTGTAGATTTAATTACATATTTAATATTATATTCATTACTTCATTAAATATAATAATATTATTATACAGACTGATAGAAAATATGTAATTTTATTCAACTATAAAAGAAATAATAGTTTGCAACATTTACATGATTTGACTATCCTAATACTACTCAGCAGTAATGAATGTCAGTAGCTGGCAATAGCACTTCTCATAAATTCATGTTTTAATTAAATTTTTCAGATGTGCAATCTGTGTATCATTAAGTTAATTAATTATTTGAGAGCCACTACATAAGTAAGTACTGATATATAAAATTATTAAATATTTAACAAAACATACATATGATAACGTTATGAATTAAATAAAGCTTTATAATTGTAATAAAATATGACGATAAGTACATTTTTACTTATTATTATGTTATTTTAATAAAAACTATTTTTTGTTATTTAAAATTAATACAAGAGCTTACCTAATGTAAAACAAACTTCTCATGATATAGTATATATATATTTGTGTTACGGTAATAGTACGAATACCGGTGAAACCTAGGATTTACGGGTAAATCCTAGGTTTTACCTACTATGATCAGTAAATGTCCGAAATTCGGATATTTACCAATTGTTTTTGGCAAAACCTAGGATATACATTATTGCATGGTCAAACCCCGAATGATTTTAGAAGTTCGGACTTTTACCAACGACTTTTGGTAAATCTTAGGATTAACAATCATTGATTATAAAAGTTCAAAATTATGTATTTGTGTTGATATCAATAGTTTTCATTTAATTTTTGACTGTGATACAAATTATAATAAAAGTTATAATCATTGTGTCTTCGATAATGAAAATTTGGAACAGATTTAATAGAAGATTAATTTAATAAATTGATATCGGGGCCAATTGCAGGAAGTAATTTTATGAGCAATATTCGTTTTACAATTGTCGTGGTTAGAATTACGAATATACACAGTATTCAATTCGTCTCTTATAATACGATTTTATGAAATTTTAAATAGTGTTGTGGAGTTATAAAATAACGAAAATAATTTTTATTTAACTGAGGAAAAATATAATATATCTTTAAAAGAAGTTAAAGTAGCTAAATCTGTTAATGTGAAAAAAACAGTTCACTATTGGTGACTTAAACGATTTGATGTTGTTAATATTATTGGTGAAAAAAACTGATTCTTCTAATGAATGATGACTTTGAATTAATGTATTATTATGTTCGGTATTATAAGTTATATTATGCTCATATTGCAATAGACTATGAAGGTAGAAACCGTATTATGTATGAAGTTAATAGCATATTAACTGATCAGGTAAGAATTATCACAGAATTGGAAAAAATATATAATTTCGGACTTTTACAATCATTGATTGTTAATCCTAAGATTTACCAAAACTCGTTGGTAAAAGCCCGAACTGCTAAAATCATTCGGGGTTTGACCAAGCAATAATGCATATCCTATGTTTTACCGGTAAATCCTAGGTGTCACCGGTATTCGTACTATTACCGTAACATATATATAAAATATGAAAATAAATAAATAAAATATAAACGAAAAATATAATGTATAATATTCCAAATACGATTAACGACTTGGTAGAGATGTTTGAGTATCATATATTATGTATTATATTTACAAAAAATAAAACCAATCTATAGTTTTTAACAATTTATTTCATAAATATTTTCCTTTGATAAAATTAATGGACTTTCATAGTCTTCTGATAAAAATTCCTAAACCAAAATAAGATTAAAATTTAATACGATCTAATCCATGAAAAAATATCGATCGACCATAATGAAATACAATTAAGAAAATCTAATTATTTTGCACAAACATGATATTTAACCCATCGTCTTCTTATAAAACATTTACATTTATATCATATAACGAATTAATGTTTATTATTATTAATAATTAATCAAATAATATTATTTAAATTTGATTACCAATCAATGAATTTATAAATTAAGATTATTTCGTAACATTATGTAGATTTATAACTGTAATAGACCTACAAGTACAGTAATAAATATTCAGCATCGTATAATTCGAGTTAAATTTGTATTTTTCAATTTTCTGTTATTGTGTGAATTATTTAAATAGATAAGTACATAGTTTTAAGCTTTAAGTGTAATTTTATGTTTTTATATTTTATTACATATTAATATAATTTTATTTGAGAACACAGTGTATATACCACTTATAACTAAATAAATATTTTTATTAGAGTATTATAAACTAATAGCTATTAAGGCTGCAACGTAAAAATGTTTAAATTCAGTATAGATAAATGGTTTATAAGTATTTAAAAAAAAAAACAAAAAAATAAATGAAAATAATATGAAAAAAAAGGTTTTAAAATAATAATAAATAAAAGAATCAATACTTTATACAAAGCAGTTGGAAGAAAAATATACATATTATCTGTCCCAAGCCTTCAGAAGTATAAAATATGAATGATGACGGAGTGCAAAAACTATATGACGTATCAACCATATATAATGTGTACTATTATAATGTATTATGTTATATTCAATATTATATATATGTATATAAATTATTAGTCATTTTTTCTATATCATGAGTATTATATATATGTAAATTTATTTATTCTTTTTAAAATGTATAGATCATCATAAATTGTTAATTATCGACATCACCGATTTATATTATTTTTTTACGCGCTCTACATAATAGAATCGAACCGCAAATGAATAACAGACGTAAAAACACAAGTTTGAACTTCCCAAAATAAAGTGAACACATATGTTCGGGAAATCAGTTCATTTATAAACAGAAGGAAAGAGTTTTCTTGACATCAACAAAATGGATCGGAGATAAACGAAATGGTCATTTATACGTCCTATACTTATTTTTTTTTTTTTGTCCATTTACACTTCTCACAATCTTATTTCCCTTTCTACACTGAAGTCACTAGAATCTTGACAGATTTGTTGTGTTAGTCTAGAATAAAAACAGCAGGAAAGCAATCGGACGGTGGTTCTAGATTGACCGCGTAATAGATGGAAACCGACTGTTTTGCAATTGATGGGCTCGCTCTGACCAGTGTCCCCTGCCCACCGAGATTTTAAGGATAAAAATCTACAACGATTTCTTTCACTAGCTGCTTGTACACACAACAACCGTAGAAACTATCAGCGTTCTTACCTCATCTTGGTTTTCGTCGATCTTTGTATACGAAGTTGCGCAGTCCTCGCATACTTTGAACTTGCACCCAAAGCACACACGCGAGTAATCGCCATCCTTAAAGCTCTTTAGACATACCCGACAACCACCGGAACGACATGCTGGTTGCTTGGTCAATTCTGATTTAGACCTAAAACAAAATAAGCAAACATGAATAAATCGTTTTCTTTATTCTCAGCGATTATAATTATTATGGTTGTAAAATTGATAAAATTAAATTGCCTAAGGAAATGAAAATCATTAAATTAAACTGAATGCTTTTTGCGTGATATATTTCATAAAGAAAAAAAATGGAATAATATATTAAATTTATAGCGTTTATCGATTTTCAAATTTAAATTAAATATTTTAAAAATGTTAATGACAAACACGAGACTATAAAATAACTGAAATTTAAAATTGTGCGTGTATTAAATTTATGACTTGTAAATGGCAAAAGGAGAAAACAACATAGTATATACCGAAATTCTGACGGTTATAATCGCATAATTGTGAGAGAACACCAAATGCTAGTGCTCCTCTAACTAATTAGTAATGAGATATTTTATTTATAAATTACGGTACTGGTGACATTAATGAAAATTGTAATCGTCAAACAATAAATACAATATTGTGCTTGGTTACTACTTTTACCACTCATAACCTTTCATAATATTTATAACATTTAATATATTTGATGCAATAATAATCGTTATCTATAGTTATAGTTTTACTTTTGTTGCAATATTATAACTAATCTTAACAATGATTTTATCTATAATCAAACAAGCTGTTATCATTGAAGTAATTTATTAAATATTTTTTAGGATAATAGATATAGGATAATATTATAATATTTTGTCAAAAATAAAATAATAATTATCGAATGAAGTGTATATTTTCATATTATCAACATTATGAAAGGTGATATTTGATAAAAGTAAAGATTACTCAACACCATATGTTTTACACTTGGTGAATACATTTTTCATTAGAATCTTTACAATTTAAAAAATTTGCTTAATCTCTACTTCTATAACATTTCTTTTGGTAAATATCACTTGTATCAAAATATATAAATTAAATATCTCATTACTATATAGTCGGAGTAACACTACCGTTTATTCGATCAATTTTTCCAACTGTTAATTGTCTTATAGAGTAAACCATGTAATTTAGCTCCTTTTGTTCTTTACCAGCCAATTTAATAAATTATTAAAAATATTACGAAAATATTATAATCCTGTTTTATTTTTTAATACGATTATAGTTGTATTTTCATACAAAAAAGTATTTTTTATTTCCAATATATAAGTTAATAAATTATCGAGTACGATAGAAAATTATTAAAACAGTTAAAGAAACTAATGATTAGTTTCAGATATATTTTATGCTTGGTTAATGAAATAACATTTCATTGAATAAGGTCCGTTTATGAAATAATATAGAAATAATGTACATGAGTCTAAGTCTAAATATACGTATGTTAACTTTTACATTAGTTAAAATTTTAACCTTAATATATTAACTTCGAGTAAAAGGTATCCCCAGCAGAGCATGACCGTATTTACATACCGACTTAATGGTCCTTTTAATTAAATAATGTGTTTAGGTAATAGAGACATCTTCTTTTTTCAAATAAAAAACGTAATTTGAATGCATGTCAATGTCTGTGTACATAATTGCTACTTTAACATAACGTAAATTAGCAAAATGTGGGTAGGTATGCATATATATTATTTTAAAAACATTTTCTGGTGACTTCCAAACATGCTCTTAATTTATAGTATTCTTTTGGAACACTACAGAAACAAAATTCATTAAAGATGTATAATTATAAATTTGATGTGTTAAAGGAAAAATAAAATAATTGTTGTACAATATTTCAATGTTTATGAATTGAACAAACAAAACGATTTTTAATTCAATAACACTTCGACATATTCATTAACTTAATATATAATAATATTAATAATTAACATAGGTATATCTCTAGTACTAGTAACTAGTAACTATAATTATTAAAATAAAAACTATAATAATTCAGTATAAAATGAATATAGGTCATCAACAAAAAATTGGTTGTTAATTATAAAAACAAAAACTTTTCGCGAAGTGTGTTATGTAACAACATTAATTCAAATAAATAAATGAATAAATTAGTTATTCGATTCCAAAAATAATCCATTGTTTTTAATACGGAAGTTATCGCCCAATTATTTCTTATGGTTATTTAAATAAAATTACTATTCGTATTTTTCCTCTATACAAGTAGTATAATACATAATATGTTCCCTTTCTCGTTCTTGTAAGACGTCTTTACTATGACTAAAAATGTTGATGTTTACAATTAACTGTCTTATCGAAGCGGATTCCATAACCTCATTGTCAGAATATTGTTTCATGTTTCATTTAATAAAACGGATTTAGTATTAATAGCTCGAATATACTTCATATTATCAAAACATTTTAAAAATAAAAAATGAAGTAAAAACCAAAATCGTTACAAATATCTCATGCAAATAATATTTTTGTAAGTACCGGCAATTTTACATGCTTCATTTCATTATAACCAGACTAAAACTTCAGCGAGTCACTTAATTTAAATATTTTATGCCGGACGTAATTTACAGTGTCAAATAAAAAATGAATGTAAATAAGTATAAAATACTCTATACAAGTATACCTCGTATATATATATATATATATATGTGTGTATATATGTATGTATGTATGTAAATATATGTGAATAAATTGTATTTATTGCGACAAGATATATGAGAGAACGAGATCCAGATGGTTTAGGAAACGGTACGACAGACGAAATAGATGTGTAAAATGATAATTATAGAATAGCCATGAGATAATAAAAATAACATTTTCAAAATGAAATAGAAAACCTTCGACGAAAATGAATACAAGAAAATACATCGAAGTGAATTTTGAGTCGACGTAACTTTAAAAGGTCATACACTACAAATAGTGGTATTTTTGTGTCATTGGAACCAAAAGAATTTACAAAAATGGTGTCTATACATTTTCATTATTAAAACATACTATAATGTATTGTGAATCAACAAATATAGCACATATTTATCGAAATTAAAATTCCAAACAAGTACTAATGATATATATTTATTAGTAATAAATAACTAATTAATTATTATTATTATTATTTTACTATCATCGATTTCTTTTTTTTTAATAATCAACATTAAAATATTACATGTAAATTATTATTTATACATTTACTACTGTTCTTATTAAACAAAAAAATTACTTATTTAATCTACATTAGAACAATAAAGCCCATATTCTTTATATATTGAAGCCGGTTTAGAAAATGAAATGTATTATGCATTTAATTACAGTAAAGTTTTTGGAAGATAGAGAATCAATGTAAAAGAATTTGGTATAAAGAGAAGAAAATATTATTTTTAAATGCTGTCTATTAAATAAGAGGGATAAACAAATGAATAGTAAGTTTCGCATATCGAAACAACTACTAACACAGTTGGCGAGATAACATGAAGAGCTATCTTATTAATACTAACTAGTATCGATTTTTATATCAACTTTATACATTGACATATATAATAATACGTACAAATTTGGATGTGTGTGATAGGTGACCATGAGTGTTTATTTATATTTTATAAATATATACAGGATAGGTAGCAGCAGTTTCCCATAATAGCTTTAAAAGTGCTATAATTTTAAAGCCACTAAGTGAACTGACGGTGACAACACCAACCCTCGTGCAGTGTTTTAAATGAATATAAAATATTATTCATAATATGAGTAAAACATTTTAATATTATAAAACATGGTTATGCCTAGATAATATTTATATCAAAACTTAAAGGTGTTTAATAAATATGTTTATTATTTATTATAACTCGAAATCCATCAAAAATAATTTTAACTAGTTAAACTCTAGAATTAACCAGAACTTCGATATTGATACTTTTTTTAAAATACATATTTGTAACAATAATCAGTTTGAAATAAGTATAATATTTATTAATTTATTGACAAGGCCAACTATTGTGGCATTTATAATTTTATAAAATATTCATTTTTTTTTTTACACTCGCAGCGATTTATTCCTTACTTTTGAAGTAAGATAATTAGTCATTACAGCATTTTTATATTTTATACTATTGTTTGGTATAATGTATGATAGTTGATGTTTAATCGCCAACCGGTCGAAACGATCTTAATTAATTTCATAAACTATGCCACGATAAATGACATATACAATAGAAGCCACTTATTAGGAACATAGATAATTGATACAATCGCGTTATTGTTACAAAATGTCTAGGGACGGAAGAGCCGTATATTAAAAAATATGAATCGGATTATTAAAACAACTCATCGGTTATTTGAAACAATAAAGGTCAATTAAAATGTATTTTATCTTATGTCATTACAATCGAAACCAGTCGAACTCTCGGAGGAAGTGTACGAAGATTGGATCGATATGAACTCACACCTCGATGTTGCAGAGGTTCCAACAGAAGAAAAGATTATAATGCGGTTATAAATCCTCGAATAATTTAACATGATGTCACTGACGAAGAAGAAGAAAACGGCGAAGTATACCCATGAGGTAAAGAAATTGTAGTAAAAATCTCTTAGTGTCTTCAAGAGAGCATTCCTGCATCCTACGGATGACTTTGGGCAACATTTTTCTTACAAAATCACGACATCAAGTTATTCGAAGCAAAATAACAGAAAACGATAAACAAATTTTACTTAGAATATACATTTTGTTTTTCACAGTACATAATTTTTTTCGATTTATATATTTTTTTCATAGTAAATAAAATCACTCGCATATTAAAAACAATCGGTTAATAACACATTTTACCTTGGTCCAAAAGTGTTCCTAATAAGCGGTTTATACTGTAACTCTAAATGCCATGATAGATTGCCGTGTCTAAATAAATAATAAAAATAATACTTATTTCAGATTGACTTTTGTTATAAATTGTATTTTCAAACTATTATTACTATTGAAATCCTTGTTAATTCTAGTTTTAACAAGCCAAAATCATTTATAGCAAAATTTATTTGTAAAAACTACTATTGACTTGTCATAACTAGTTTTGACGAATTCCGAGTTTTAATTTAACATATATATAT